GGGGTGGGTGTGGGTGTGGGGTGTGGGTGTGGGTGTGGGGTGTGGGTGTGGGTGTGGGTGTGGGTGGGTGTGGGTGTGGGTGTGGGTGGGTGTGGGTGTGGGTGTGGGTGTGGGTGGGTGTGGGTGTAGAGTGTGTTAGTAGTTCAAACGCAACCCACACCCACACCCACACCCGCCCACCACACCCACACCATCACCCACACCCACATCACCCACACCCACCCACCGCACTCACACCCACACACCCACCTGCACCCACCCACAACCACACACAACCACACGCACACACCCGCATCCACCCACACCCACACCCTTAATGTACTTTAATGTACTTCAATGTACTTCACCGTACTTTAAAGTACTTCATTGTACTTTGCGGTACTTCGTTGTACTTTATGTACTTTAAAGTACAAAAGTACGATGTTTCCCCCTTGACTTTAGTTCAATGTACTCACAATTTTTATCTTTCTGAGTAAATTGTTTACGTGTTTTTAGTATTTCAAATGATATTTGGTTCAAGTCGATCATTATCACCTTGAGCAAAATTTTCTTCTTCTTGAAGACAATGAATTTGTTTTGTGATTGATTCAAGTGGTTCTATTATTGTTATTCTTTGTTTATCAATTAATTCGATAAGTTCATTGTAAGCTTTTTTTGTTGCTTGTTTTATTTTGAGGATTCTTGTTTTTTTTTCACTGTTCAATTATATTAAAAGGGCTCAATGACGAATAATTTAGTTTTTTCTACCTTTTGTATTTTGATATGTGATCTTACAACTTCGGTATCGAATTCTAAAGATAGTTTTTATTTATGTTCTTCGAAATCTTTTGGACAAAAATATATTTTACATACAATACAAAAAAGATTTGGCTGAAGATTTATTGCAGATTGAACATAAATTTGATTCATTTACTGTTGTCTTTTGTTTTGGAAGAAAATCACTGGATTTATATTATTTATTAAGTGAATATATCAAATAATTTTGATCATGTCCGTTTGGTCACCGAAAACGCCATTTTTAATACCATGGAGTTTATCGTTGTTGATCTTAATAAAATACAGATAGCTGTGGTGACAAAATAGACTATTATCTGTCTCTTATTTTCATTATAAAGAAGCCTTAGAGGTTGTGGGTATGAATAGGAAAAGAAAAGATACATTCACATCCAGCCCATTTATTTAGTTATGTTAAGATAAATTTAGTTAGATCAATTTGTTTTGTTTCAAACTAAATAAAAAATGGAAATATTTCATAAAAATCAAAATTGATCCCAATTGAATCCATTGCGATTTCATCTGAGAATTTTCATGGAATTTCATTTGGGAATCGTTGCTCAATTTACGAGTCTTTACGAATATGAGTATGGGTTTCAGACATAACTTCATCGTCGAACAATTTGACATTGACGATAATGGAACAACCTTTAACAAACAGGGGTGGGTGTGGATGAGTCTTCAGTTCGACCAGACGTACATCAGTATCCACACCCACACCTACAACCGCACCCTTTGTTCCTTTAAGTATATGTGAGAATAGTATGTCCGTAGCTCGTTGTTCACACACGATATGCACAACGGCATAGATCCTTTCAGTAGAGGGTTAGCGACGTTTACATCGCGTTACTTGTATATATAGTCAACTGCTATTGAAAAAACGAATACTTAAATGTTACAACATCATTTTTTTTCTTTATCTAAGACGTATTGTGACTTCAAGCAAACTTACAAAATATATTCGTTATGATAAATGTTTGTTCTCTGTAGTATTAATATTTGGTGGTTTAGGGACCTAAAATACATTGTCGTTGTTGTACATATATTGGTGTTATTTTGGTTAGATTTCGAATATGAATGAATACTTCTTTGACTTGAGGAGTAACATAGACGAGCATAAAACTAAGAGCTATCATAGCAATGACTATAGTTATATTCTGAATGCGATAAAATAATGGTTTTCCTATGTCAGTAAAAGGTAACATTAACTTCAACACAACAGAAGGAATACCCATTAGTATTAGTATAGATACAACAAGTTCAATACGTCGTGCTACGATCACATCACGTTTAGCTCGTGTTGAAGCAACCATAGTTGGTCGACGCATAAATCTCATCAGTTGCATATAAAGAATATTGATGGCAATAATTGGTATACCATAAATAATCATATTAGACCAAATAAATCCACGGGCACAATGAATAGCTATAAAGCAGGTATTTTCTCTACGTATAAATTGTATATCATGCCAAAAATGAATCGGTAGAATAAAAAGAAATGAAATGAGCCACAAAATAGGAATAATTATAGTATAAGTAAGAGTATGCTGTAGCCATACATAAGAAGGATAGACGACACGAAAGAAACGAAAGGCAGCCTAGAAATTAAAATATCTATTTTGAATTCAAAATACCTATCATATGTAATTTATATAATTTGAATCAATATAAAAGTATGTTTGTACTATGAGTAATTTATTGGACTTTGTACAACAGCATATTAGTTTACCTTCTTTTAATCTTGAAATCACCAATGAATTTTTGTATTTTTATGAAAAGAATCTTATAATGAGAGATATGAAATCATATTATAACCGATGACAAGTCATTAATTTAAAATCTTGGCTTTGCCCATGGACTATATACATGACTATCGATCTAGGAACAGGAGGATAGAGTGGCTTATTTCACAATTCTCGAATGTATGTCGAGTCTTTCGGGCAGTTTGTTAAGTTCTGATCAATTTGGCAGACAGTCTACATTTCGAAAATTTGCAGAGTTCATGGCTTGCAACAGAGATGTAGAAAACCTGTCTAAACTTTGCCATCTATAGTGACAAGCCCTTGTAAACTTAATGTATATTGAGCAAATGATCCTACAAATCAGAACGATTGATTGATTAGAATGACTAATGATTACGGATATCCTACTTATATAGCAAAAATCGAACAGTGTGAAGTTTATGAAAAAGTTTTCTTGTTAATTGTGAATGATCCCCATTAGAATGTTAATATTATCTTATGCAATAAAAGATGTCTCTTGATGGTTAGAATCTTTCAAAGAACTTCTTGATCATTATCTGATTCAGTATATATTTGTGATTTTTCTACGATCAGCAATAATGTGTAAGTAATTTTTCCTCATTAAAATGGCGTATAAATCATCTCAACTAATATAAAGAAAATGCATCAAACATATGTGCACATGTGTAATTCATAAATTAGCTTTTCAAAAAGAATTAATCTGCGGTAACAACCAAATTTTCTTCTATCGAAATACATCGAAAACATATAATATGCTTTCAAATCTAACCTACCTCTAAAAATAAGGTGAAAAATTATCTATGTGGTAAACTTTTAAAGGTAATTAAACTTTATTAAAAGGCTTACCTGTAACACAAAAGTATTAAAAATGACTGCTAAAGATGAGTAAAATATATATCCTTTAACACGACAACCAAATGTTTCTATACCAATGTACAAATTATAATCACCTCGAACCATGTCAATATTGATTGGTATCGCTACAAGTGCAAAAGCTAATAATGTTAAATAATTATTAGCAACTAAAATTAATACAACATCATGTTTGCGTATAATTGATGGCAAGAGCATACTAAGCATAAATATGCATATGAGACCAATAAATATAGTTCCAATAAGTGAAATCAAATTGAGAGTTATAGCTGCTGTTGATATCATTGTTGTATTCGACATCTTTTTTACGAACTACAAGTGATAGATGTTTCACTGTAGATTTTATCTGTTAACAAAAAAGAAAATAATATATGATTGCTCGAACATTATCAAAATAGATTGACGTTTAAAAAAAAATAAATGAGATAACTTCATACTGCAACGTTATAATAAAGCGATTCGAGCTATACTGACACGAATACAAAATATAAGTGGAAATTATTTTTCTGAACTTATACAAAATATTGAATATAATATTATTAACAAGAAAAGAAACAAATATGTTTAAAGAAGAAAAAAAAACACATTCATTTACCATTCTTGGTGTTAAGATGAAAGATGATGTCTGCAAGTAAGAGGAAACTCAATTGAATTACAGAACAGTTCTACGATCATTATTAATAGTAATGTTCTTTCAAGAGATAGATGAATATTACTGAATTTTCAGTAACATATTATTTAATACTGATGTTTGTTCTAGAATTAAAGAGGAGTGGATGTAATCTCAATGAATTGATGGCGACCGGATCTCATGGCCTGTGATTCTCCGTAACCAAAAGAGAAGATCAAACAATGTTGTTAACATGCGACGCTCTTCATATAAATGAAGGGAGATTTTTTTCTTTTTAGAATTTTGGGCACAAATTTTAGATTTAGTGATGCGATGTTCTTTAGAGCTGAATATCGTCTGACACCTATTGAAATGTCATTTTTGACTCTCAGATCTGCATCGGATACAAATCCTATTTGAACCGCAATATGATATTTTCTTTGTCAAAAATAAAATCCAGATGCTATAAATAATCTATAGATTTTCTTTTCTTTATATCAATATTAATGAAGCGAAACTAAACGCTAAACTTTCTTATTATTAATTATAGCTATCACTGATGATAAGCTATCATTGAATATTTGTTAATATGTTTCTTGTTGATTGACAAAACTCTAAAGATGACTCTGAAGCTAATTAAAACGCCTATCAAGCGAGTACTACTTGTTAGTATAAGTTCTGCAATTACTGGAACAATTTTATGTGTATGAAAACTGCTTGTTTACTACAGCTGTATTCGGGTACAGACGTAATATACTAATTCTGACGAATACTCATATGAAGTTTTCACTACAGATTTACTGATTGGAAATGACGATTTTCAGATTAACTGTAAAATGTAATGAAACAAAAAGAACTAACAAATCTTATTAAATTTCGAATAGAATTTAGATTCATGAAGATATCTGCATCTTACTAAAAACAAGTAATCTTTGTGTAGTCATCGACAAATCAGGCTTATTTGTAGTCAGATTTCTTTGTTTTAAAAAAATATGTTATTTTCTTTTCTGTTCTTTTACTGTACTCCATCTGTTCTTTATACTATTCTTACTTGGTAAGATAATGATGAAGAAGTTTTCATCATTTGTAGATAAAATTAGATATCTCTTTATTTCTACATAACATATACGCCCCATTTCGTTTCAAAAATGAAAGGTTAACCTTAAAAAACACTTCACGGATATGGAATTATAGAGTAGAAATAATTCCTCATAATATGCAATTAGTAATCATGCAGATGCACATATTTTTGTCGATTTTATGTTTTCTTGATAATTTTCTTCGATATTCCAAATAAATACATAAAATCTTATTTTTATCATCTGAACATGAAGACATATTTCACTTTGTTGTGCATTGATGAGGTTTTTTTTAAACTCTTATTTGTTTCAAAAGAGTATAAAGATAAAATGATCGTTATGGTTCTTACATTTATTGTTTTCTCAAATTTTCATGATATACGTCTGTATTTTCAATTATGATACAATCTGCTTTAATAACTGACTTTTTTCATAAGAAAAACGATTAATGCCGAATTCATGTCGATTTTTCCGAAAACTGCCGTAATCGTCATGATTTACACAGCATAGTTTTTTATATGATCGTCTTAATATATTAGCTAGATATTGTATGTCTTTTCAAATGATAATATTGAACTCAGGATTTAACGTTCTTAGTGTCTATATTAAATGAACTTGATAGATATGAGAAAAACAGATAGAGAACCTACTTTGCCAAAAGAGTTTTTCCTTCATTACTAATTTAACTATCAAAGAGATCCTGTTTTCTGATTATTGGTAACAAGTTATAATTGTAAATATATGACAGACAAGCAGAAAATGTATCATGTCATGTAAAGTTTATCATATATATGTAGTATATATTAACTCTCCTTAATACCATTCCATTTTTGTCCTTGAATCGATGTAAATCATTGAATATAGTCTTGAAACTATGTTTTTTTCAATTGGACATTGCTCGGAAATAATTACCCAGCAACATTTTGTCTTTTCCTTCCGATATGACCTTCCAAGATTCATATTAGCTTGTTTTTTCTACCATATGAATTATTTTCTTCATATTTTAAAGCATATAACGTAAACATGATTCTATGAAAAATGACATCGATTTTAGAGTATACAATCTTGTATATGTTCAAATCCTATCCTTGAGATTCAAGTAGACGATACATCTGTATCGATAGGTGGGTTTTTCGTGTGACATGTTGTTGAAATATGCAACAAAATGCAGAATGTTATCAGAAGAAAAAACACATTTATTGATTCACATGTATTCTACACATCAAGAAAATGTCGACGATTGTGAACTCATCTTTATCTCAATCAAAAACTGATCTTTATTTTATATCATTTCATACTTGTTGGAATCTTGCAATCATCGATACCTTTGGTAGTTATATTATGTTTCTGTTGCTTGATCAAAGTACTAATAATCTGTTAACACTAATTATAAAATGCTTCTTTGTAAAAATGAATAATGCTAATCATTGTATTGAATTCGTTGATTTTATTGATAAGAATTAAATTCAGATAATAAGTTAGATGTGATACTACAAAGTTTCTCGATAAATTAACATGATTCATGAATTTGAAAATGAATTTTCATTTTATCAATTTTATTTCTTCTTATCATTTCTACTTATTCATAGCTAATGTGAAGATGGTTTATTTTTAATCTTGACACTTTCTTAATTCCTAATATTTGCCAACTTTTGTGTAAGAATAAATCAAGATTAGAGGAGATACTTTTACTTTTCGTGTAAGAACTAACAAACAAATACAGTTACAAAATTAGGTTCATGTTATTTTCCAATGAAATTTTAGTTGTGTTATTTATCTAAAAAAAATAAATACATAGTAGTATTATAACTCAGAAGAAAAATGTGAAAATGAAACCTCTAATTGCGATATAAAACGACTATATTTAACAATCAAAATCATTATTTATATTTCCGTTTTCTTTTTACTACTTAATATGTTTTGTTATAAAGAGTCTAAAATATTAAGACAACATTTAAATAAAATATACTGAAATTATATTAAGTAATACATATATATATATATACAGTGAACAGTTGTCGAAAAAGCAAATTTCTAACTGTTCGATCATCATTGACTTTTCTGTTTCATCTAATGTTTATTGTGATTCCAAAAATGTTATAATATATAAGTATCATGATAATTGTTCCTGGTCTGTAGTGTTAATAGTTGATGATTTGGTAGGTAAAATGGGCTGTAGTTGTGTATGTGTCGATGTTGTTGTAGTTGACTTTTGATTACGGATAAGTACTTTTTTGACTTGAGGAGTGACATAGACGAGCATAAAGCTAAGAATAATCATAGCAGTGACTATAACCATATTCTGAATACGATAAAACAATGGTTTTCCTACATCAGTAAAAGGTAACATTAACTTCAATACAACAGAAGGAATACCCATCAATGTTAATATGCCTACAACAAGTGCAATACGCCGTACAACGATCACATCACGTTTAGTTCGTGTGAAAGTAACCATAGATGATCGACGAATAAAATGCGTCAGTCGAATATAAATAATATTGATGACAATAATTGGTATACCATAAATAATCATATTAGACCAAATAAATCCACGAGCTCTATGAATAGCTATGAAGCAGACATTTTCTCTATGTATAAATTGTATATCATGCCAAAAATGAATCGGCATCATAAAAAGAAACGAGATGAACCACAAAATAGGAATAGCCATAATGTAAGTAAGACGATATTGTAACCATATATGAGACGGATAGGCCACACAAAAGAAACGGAAACAAGCCTAGAAATTAACATATGCATTTGAAATTTAGAATGTCAATTAAATGCAATCATCGGGTTTGAATTACTGTATAAATATGTTTGTGACAAGAATAACTTGTAGGACTCTCTTAAACGATTTAGTAGCTCAAATTCTTTGAATCTCTAATTAACCTATGAAGTTTTGTACTTTTTATAAAGAACTTTACAATGAGAAGTGGGAAAGAATATTAGAGTAGATAATGATTCATTACTTATACATCTAGGCTTTGTTCGTGGACTGTATGCATGACTCTTGATGAGTCGGAAGAGGACGGGGTGTGTTACTCTCGTTCACACTTCTCGAAAGTGTCTACTAAAATTTTCTGCTAAGTTGTTTGCTGAAACTTTCAGATAATTCATTAGTTTCCGATCAATTTAGCAAATAGCTTATAAGTTTTTGAGATCGTCCAAAAAAGCTATGGCTTACATCAGGGTTGTAGAAAATCTTTATAAACTTTGTCATCGATAGCAGCAAGTCGAATCATCTTTTTGCGTAGTCATCTTCGACAACAGAAATATTGAAAAAAGTTTCTTGCTAGAATATATAAAGACTTTCTTCTCTGGAGACTGTAAAGCAAAGTATATTTCTTGTTTGACATGAATTTGGATTCCAAATGAGAAGGCGTTTGTATAGGTTTTACATTAGAAAACATGTTATACTGCATCTTACGGAAATAGTTCTTTAACTATGGCCAAGAATGTGGCGAACGAAAAAGTTGGGAGTACAAAAAAAACTTTCTGAGAGTTCGAAAAGTGTGTATACAATTTTTTTAAAAGTAGAATTGATAAATTTGTTTCTTCTTTTACGATTTTTTTTTTCTGTCTGAAAAAAATCCATTATTGTTGAGAAAAAAGAAAATATTCTCGAAGTCGAGACGGAAGACTGCACACAGTTCTCGTTCTAACATTTCCACATCTTGACTTGTTCTTAATCATTTAACTTTCTGACTATGTCTGGACAAAATTTTTAACATTCTCTGCGAAAAAAATTTCGCCACTTGTACCTTCAAAAACTATCGACAGTGATGATTGTATGTCTATCATTGTGCTCGTTTATGTTGATAATCAGTGGTGAAACATCTGTCGATCAATCAACATTTTGTTTAATATAAATTAAATAGTAGATGTTGTCTTCTACAATATTTATTGATATTTGTTTAACAAACGTCAATTAAGATGCTGATGTATTATAAAAGAAACAAAAGAGACAACGGCGAAAAGTAACAGTCGAAAGACAAATATGAACTAGGAAAATGTTGAAACCAGAAAGTATCTAGAAATAAAATGATGTATCTAATGCAAAGCTGATTTTAGGCCTCTAGAGTTTATTAATTCTTTTCTCATTTGTATTTTTAACTGGCAGTGACATTGATGAATAATATCTGATAGAGATTGCTTAAACTAGTCGGAAAAATAATTACTATACAACTGAAAATCTGTCGCCATGAGTACAATTGCTACATTTTCAACGTATGAAGCTTATTCATGATTGTCAGATATTTCATTTGTTAATTATTTAAAAAAGGAAGATCTTTTTGCTCGTATCAAATGATCCGCTTTTCGGATTCAGTAAAAAAGTAACAATTACGAAAATACTGCAAATGTACATGTAATAGATGTTCAGAAAAGTTTATAGTACTTTGAACGATCAAATTATTAAAAAGCCTGACGATTATAAATACTGTGCTTGTATAGCAGAAATTGAGCTATGTACAATTCATGAAAAAGTTTTCTCATAATTTCTATATAATCTCTAAGAATGCTAGTTTTATCCCCTATAACGAAGAATATGGCTTGATAGTCACAATTTTGTACAGTACTTTTCGACAAGTTCGCACTTCGTTATATTTTTTTAAAAACTTTTCTATGACTAGCCATAATGCTGTTTTACACCTTTACGATGCACGATAGTAAACAATCAGGGTATAATAATAAGAGATAAATGCGACAGACATTTTTTTTATCATTAAAACAACTTGTAAAGTATTATAAATAAAACAAGTCAATCTATCAAACATATGTACACATGTGTGCTGAAAAAATTAGCTTCTCAAATAGAATTTTTCTCCGGTTAAAAAAGAACTTTCTTGTATCGAAACACATCGAAAACATATAATATGATTTGTAATCTAATCTTCCACTAAAAATAAGTGAACAACTTTTAAAGACAATAAAACTTTATTAAAATGCTTACTTGTAATACAAAAGTATTAAAAATGATTGCTAAGGATGCATAAAATATATATGCTCTAATACGACAACCAAATGTTTCCATACCAATGTACAAATTATAATCACCTCGAACCATATCAATATTGATTGGTATCGCTACAAGTGCAAAAGCTAATAATGTTAAATAATTATTAGCAACTAAAATTAATACAACATCATGTTTGCCTATAATTGATGGCAAGAGCACACTAAGCATAAATATGCATATGAGACCAATAAATATAGTTCCAATAAGTGAAATAAAATTGAGAGTTATAGCTGCTGTTGATATGATTGTTGTATTCGACATCTTTTTTTACGAACTATAAGTGATAGGTGTTTCACTATAGATTTTATATGTTGACGAAAAGAAAATAATATATGATTACTCGAACATTATCAAAATAGATTCGCGTTTAAAAAAAACAAATGATATAGCTTCATACTGCAACGGTATAGTAAAACGGTTCGGACATTGTTTACATCAATAAGAAATATTGAAGGAAATTATTTTTCTGACCTCGATGGGATATATAACACAACAAAATGTTATTGACAGGAGAAGAAACAAATATGTTTAAAGAAGATAAAACCAGATTAATTTTCCACTCTAGACGTTCGGATGACAGATGATGCGTATTACTAAAGGAGATCTTAATTGAATCATAGAAAAATTCTATGATCATAATCATTAGTCATATTTTTTCACGAGATAGTTGAAGATTGTCAGATGTTCTCACCAGAATTAAAGAGGAATGCATGTAGTCTTAATAATTCGGCACTGATTGCATTCAGCGACCTGCAGCTGTTCAGCAGACGAAAAAGGAGATCACAGAATGTTTTCAAGGCACTAAGTCTTTTATAACGATCAGTGGAGAGGTTTTCTTTCTTTTCGACTTCCGAGTCCAAACTTCATATTTGGTGACGTGATGATTTCGAGAGCGGCACATCGTATGATATTCTTAGGAATGTCATTTCTGACGTGGAGATCTCTATATGATACATATTTTATCCGACCCTCGGTATGATGTCTCATTTATCAAGAATAAAAGCCGGATATAACAAATAATCTATAGATATCATTTTCATTAAGTCAATATTAATGAAGCAAAACTAAGCGTTAATCTTTCTCATTATTGATTGTAGCTAGCATCGATGATAATTCTTCATTGAGTAGTTGTTGACATATTCTTTGTGAAATTAATAGAATTCTATAGGAGACTACTACGCTAATGAAAATATCCATTATGCGAGCACGACTTGTCAACATATCTGTGTCAATTACTTACACGACTACACAAGTAACTTTATACGTATAAATACTGTTTGTGTAGTCAGACTTGTACACCTCAATACAGATACAGTACACTAACTTTGACTAGTACTCATGTTCATTTTTCTTGCAGACTATTAAGCAAAACATTTATGAAATTACATACAGAAAAAAGAAATCAACGCTATATATTAAAGTAAAATTGCATGATATGACGGGTAACAAAAAGACACTTTTTTAACGACTAATCTAGTTTATCATCGATTCTTTCCGTATAACTCGTTCATAAGGTATCCGTAATTCAAGATTCAAGTTCAACTTTTTTATGCATAGCTTGATAGACCGTGAGTTGTTGATTACGAAAAACTAGTTTCTAACGCTTACAAACATTCTTGTCTGTTCGAAAAAAAATAAGTGACTGTCGTTTTTTTCGTAAAAAAACACATATTTTCTAAACTACACCATTTTTCGCTTCACTTTGCTTGATAAGCTGTGAAAATATTTTCTTTCTGAATGCATATGCAAAGCTGAATGTAAAGACGATGTTAAATTAGTTTTAGTTCAAAAGGTGTATTAATGATAAGTCATTTTTATAAACTTAACTAGTTTTTTTTATGTAAGTTATGCAATCAAACATTTTTATTTATTTTAATTAATCGTATCATGAGTAACAAAAGTGTGCATTGGTTTTTTTTCTGTTCTTTTCATTGTGGAGAGAAATCGTTTTTATTGAACTCTGGACTCAATAGTTAAAATGGTTCTCGTAGTTGTCATTTTTCTTTTTCAAAATCAAGTTTCTATGCAATGAAACTGTTATATCCAAAATAAGAGTGAAAATCTGATTCGATTTATGCGGATCTTCATTGTTTTTCTAGTTTCTGTCTGAAATGATGGCGGACACTGTGAACACAAAATGTAAGATCACAAAAACGTTGGAAACTTATATCAACAGTCTCAGATTTTTATGCTAATCGCGAATATAACAATTTTATGACATAAAAGCTTCATTTTGAAGGCGGAAAATTGTGAACTACGAGAAAACTTCCAGTTATTGGGCCTAAAGTTCAATAAAAATGATTTCTCTCAGTAACAAAAAGAAAAGGAAAAAAAGCAATACACACTTTTGTTACTCATAATACGATTAATTAAAACAAATAAAAGTATTTGACTATATAAATTACACAGAAAAACTAGTTCAGTTCATAAAATGACTCATGATTAACACACCTTTTAGACTACAACTAATTTAACATCGTTTTTACATTCATCTTTGCATACTCATTCAGAAAGAAAACATTTTCACAACTTATCAAGAAAAGCGAAGTCAATAAAATAGTGCAATTTTAAAAATGTGCTTTTCAAGAAAAAAAGATAGTCACTTATTTTTTTTTTCGCACAGACAAGAATGTTTGTAAGCGTTAGAAACTAGTTTTTCATAATCAATAACTCACACTCTATCAAGCTATGCATAAAGATGTTCAACTGAAATTTTGACTTTTATAAAAAAAGAACAATGAAAATGAATTTTCATTTTAAATTGTTAAAAGCGTGTTGGTTACGATTGAATACTTATTTGAATATGTTTTATAGATATTCCTTCAAATTGAATTTTCTAGATTTATATACAAAAGACGAGTTTTGAGATGAACTATAAAATGCAATCAGACAAGAAGAACTAAAAACTCTTTAAATGAGTGATAATTATACTGAATGAGCAATAATTTTACTTAAATTAAGGGTAAATTTTATTATCAAAAGTGTAATATGAATGCATTTATTTATATAAATACGTATTTCCTCAATTTTATACAATAAAATATATAATTTATACAAATGGCTCAATCATAACGCGTAACGCAATATATTTTTGATAGTGAAAGTTACAATCATATGGAACTGAAGTCTTCTAATAATAGTGAAGCGATTTAAAAAAAACAAAAAAGGAGGGTGCGAGTGCGGAGTCGCCATGAAGGGAAGACTAATGCTCACACTCACACATACAAGTCCGTCTACTTCAACATATGGTGTGCATGTTTGACTAACAATGCTAAAGAATGAAGAAAAGTAACTTGTACTTGCGCATCATTGCTTAAAAATTATATTTTCAAGCACATCATTGCTGTGTTGATCAGGTTAAAATATTGCAAACTTTCATCAGAGACAAAAAAATGTGGAAATTGGTACAAAAAAGAAAAAGAAGCAGACCATCTAAAGCAAAAAAAGATTTTATTGACACAATAATATACTATTTTTTTTTATTTTTTATTTTTAATGGTAACTAAAAATAATGTAGGTTTTTTTGTTATTGTTAAAATATGAAATTACTACTGCTATTTAATCAGTTAATTATTGCACATTTTAATAATATAAAATTGCTCATATAAAGTTTGTTTATTGCTTCAAAATTATTGCTCATAACAATATTTTTATTGTTTAAATAAATACTAGCCTGTAAACTAATAATTTTATTTTTTATATTCATTTTTAAATTACTATGACTACAAATAGTTACATGGATTTAGAAATATCTGTTTGATTCTTTTTGTATTATGCATGTTTATTTATAATCAAGTTTTCCTATTTTACAGAATAATTTATTTTTCATTTTTTTCTATTTTACTGCATTCAATCTGTTTTATTATTGATGCATTCCCTTATTGTTTGAGATATCGATGTAGTTTAGAAACAATTCCTTATAATACGAAATTAGTGAACACTGTAAGTATATAATGCTTTGTTTATTATGTGTTTCCCTAAAAAATAATTTCTTTCTGATTTTCTTTTCTTTTCATAATTATTTTAAACAAATAAATAAAATTTGACTTTTATGATATAAGAATAAAGAAATAGTTCATTTCCTTCTGTATCAGTGGACTCCGTTATTTTCATCACGTAATTTTATATTTAAATAAATTAAATAAGATACGACAATACTCAATAGAGTGTCAGCTGATGCTTATCTTAGAAAAACTACACTAGTATACAAAAGCCTATGTATAGAAGTATTCAAGAAGCATTCTATGTCACACGATGAGTAATCATTTGTCGTACTCAGATTTTAGCACGAATACTACTGATGAGAAATAATAAGTTTCGCTAAAATTTTCTAGTGCAAGTACTATTTGGATAACAGTACCCTCATTAGGAATATCGTTGACTTTCGAGAAATTAATCCTTGTACCACAATCATAATAAAATCTGATTTAATAACTGATTTTTTTTTCATAAAAATACGATTAATCACGATTTCATGCAGATTTTTCTGAAAACTACGATAATCAGCATGATTTGGCCAATTTTTAATGATCAAAAAGATCCAGTTTTGTGCGTCATGTAGTATATTTTAAGTTTTCTTAATCTCACTCAATTTTGTGTTTGAATCTAAACTAATCATTCAATGTATTGTTTGAACATTGTTTTTTTTCAATTATACATTGTTCGGAAATAATTACCAAATAACAGGTTGTCTTGTCCTTTTTACATGATCTTTCAAGATTCAATAAACAGGTTCTTTCTAGACAAGTGTTTTTTGATAGTAGATGTTCAGAAGATGGATGGACTCGAACATAATACTGTTATCTAGACATTGTTTATGAATGAACCTTAACGTGCACATTCATAAAATAAATCTGTCCTATGAAAAATATATCTGTTTTAGAATATATAACCGTATATATGAAAGTTATATCATTCGATGTTTATCTGAATTTTTCAGTCTATGATAATTCTCATTGTTTATATTAAGTTTATTTTAGTTGATCGAATTGCTAATATTTAATTAAGACATGTGATAAAATACTGTTCTGTAAAAATATTGCATTCATTGATTTTATTAATAAGAATTAAAATCAGATAATAAGTTAGATATGGTACTTCAAAATTTCTTGCCATATTAAGATTATTGATAAATTTAGAAATGAATTTTCATTTTATTCATCTTATATCTTCTTATCATTTCTACTGATTCATAACTAAGTGAAGCTAAATTCTCTGCATCTTGTCAATTTAGTTTATTTCTGATATTTGTACAGTTTTGT